TAGAAATAAAATATTCTTGCATATAAATACCCAAAGATATCGGAAAGTTGCCCTTTCTCTTTGATCATTGTATTGTTATGTTTCATGCAAGGTAAAACAATTAGTAAAACCAACGTTTCGCTGTTGTTATTTCTTCATATTAACAATAAATCTCCCAATTAATTGTTATTTTAAACGTTTATCTTATTATTTTTATTATTTACATTAGTTATATTTATTTGTATTTAATAATTATTAAGTTTACGTATTTATTTAGTAAAACATATGTTTCAGCATAATTGCTTTTTTTTAATTCTCTTCATTTATTTTAAATTCACTCGCTCACTTTACTTTTTTATATTATTTTGTATTATAATAATACATATATAATAAACATGAACACAAAAGCAAAAACAAACGAAAAGTATGGACATATGCGAACGTATGACATGATCAGCTTCCTTTAAGAAACGACCCAAAGCTGTATTGAGCTATAAGCATAATTTTTGTCGCGTCACTTGCACAAACTTACCCAAATTTTGATATGGTTTGCATCAAAAAGGCTGTGGGACTGGAAAAACTCTCACTGAAAATAAAATGTCAAGCATTGTGAAGTGCTAATGTAATTGCTACAATGATGGTATCTTGACGTATCCCTTCATTCTCGCGCTCTGTGAAAAGTTTAATATTTTGCATACTATCTTAAATGATTTGTAAATATTTGTAACCGACTCAAATGTTAGTTTTAATAAAATCTCATAATTTTTAATTAAACATATTAAAATGTATTGTATCAAGAAAATATAATCAATTATTCAAACATAATCTACATTAAATTCAAAAAATTAACATATAGTGTATAATAATGTATCAAAAAACGTTTCAAAATATCCAAAGTCAAAAGAGATATGTATTTTTACACTTACTGGTCATAAAATCATAGAATTTGAAAATTCAGTTAACTGCAATAATCTTATCAAAAATAAAATTTAAATATAGCAAAAGATTACCCTGTACATATATTTTTCTTGTTCTATTAATTGAAAATACTGCTGTCACAATGTGAATTCTTTTTGTTCCAAATTTAAAAAAACTTCTCACTTTAAAAATACATATATGATACAAATGCATTATTTTGAAGTGATAAAAAACAATGTTAAAGAAAATATTCTATGTACCTACAATAGATAGTGAAAATGGAATATGTGAACTTTATTAAACCGTTAATAACAAAATACTTTCAAATTAGTATAGTACCATCATGCTAACAAAATTAATAATTCCAAATTTCGTGCATATGGCATTCGTAAATTTAAAACTATTGATAGAGAACATAATTGCTAAAAGGTATCAAAATTATATGCAAAACTTTCTATGATAATGTAGCAAAATGTAAAATTTGTCTTGATTTATTAGTATAAAATATCTTCTTAGATTATTAATTTAATTTTAGTATTATTAATATATATTATGTATGTAATGAAAACAAATGTAAGAAACGATGAAAGAAACTATAATTGTATTACGAAATTCTGCGACAGAATTTTTGTTTCCTTATCATAATATAAAAAATCTGTTTCATTTATATATTTTATATAATTGTATATTATATAAATGAAGCATACTGATAAAGTTATTTTAAAGCACGAAGTACAAATGTAACTTCATGTATGTACTACACGCTGATAACTGGGCGTATGTATGGGTCTATAAGATTTAAAAAGTTAAAAATTATACATATGCATATATAAAAACATGCATATATAAATGTGTTTTATAAATATTAAATGCTTATTTCTTTTTTTCTATATTCATTTGGATAATTCTTGAAAAGACACAAGTTTATTATATCTAATAGATATTATATCTATTCAAAATGTGAGAGTTTTTGCCGACAGACGGTACATAACATCGTATGCGATCGATAGCATATTTGCTATGATTTTTATTCATTGCTACTGCAAGATATGTACAAAATGAAGCTTATGGCGTATTAGAATAGTTACAAAAACTTTAAGAATTCTAGGATTTATTCCAGATATCTGAAGGATAATGTCTTATTGAATTCTGAATAAAATATTCCCTATTTAGCTTATTTTAAACACAAAAATATGTATGTAGTATAATATGCCAAACACATTACATGTATTTTAGTATCTCCAGAATGTGATTAACATATCATGCAATTACAGATAAATTATTACAATAATGAAAATATTTTATCACTAAGAAATAAAATGTCAGTAATTCTCAAATGCAAACAAAATCTATCTATAAAAAATATAATTATAATTATAATATTAAAAAATATAACTATACTACTAAAATCCTCTGTACTAGTACGAATCATACGAATTTTGGATGATGAGAATGGATGATGTAAATATATATATATGTTTTTTGTGCAATAAAATTTGAAATTTATGGATAGTAAAATTTAATTAAAGAGCTTCCAATTAAGAAAAGATTATAAATCCTACATATTATATTAAAATACACAAACTGCAGCAATTAGTCAAGCATTTGAGGATAAATTATGAAAGAAAATATACAATAAGCAAGTAGAAGAGATCTAACCTACGCAAAATATAGCAATAAAAGATTAAAGATACAATAAAGATATATTGGAAATGATACAACCTTTGCATGAACATATGGTTTCAGAAAACATATGATACATACAATTAGTTATTATTTACAAAAATATACTAATTGTAATTATGTTACAATTAGGTCAAAAGCCATCACATTTTCTATTTAACAATACAAGATATGTGCAAGGAAACAATAATAATCTTACACAAAAATTTAAATTACTTGCTTTATATAAACAAAAAATTAATAGAAGGAGAAAGGACAATTAATAAGGACAAAACGCCAGCAAAAAAGAAATAAATATGGTACTTACTTCAGAAAATTGTCGTTTTCTTCATTTACTTTCTCTGCATCTCGTGTTTTGTACTTAATCAAACGTTCTATTAATTGGCGATTTTCTTCCTATAAATATTAAAAATATATTAGCATTTACAAATATAAATATATATTATGATCAAACATAAATCATACAAATTATGATATTAGCGAAAAATATTTTACATTGCATATTATATTATAAATACCTGTGTTTTTCTAAGTTTTTCTTCTAAAGATGCAAAAGCAAGTTGCAAGGCTTGATGCTCATCCTTTAACATTTGATTAATACTTTCTAGCTCTCTTTCTCTGCTAAGAGATTTTGATACTTCTAAACGTAAATTGGCATTGAGCTCCATACTTTCTACCACACTGTAAATTTTACAAATATTATGAAATTAATTATTGAAACGTATAATACATATATGATTGGAAGAATTTGCAATTCTGTTAATGAAAAAAGACATACATACCTAGCTTCCTTGATTTGAAGCTCCTTCAACATTTCCTGCAATTTGTTATTAAGATCTACTATTTGTTGCGTATGTTCTCCTTTTCTTTTATGTAATGTTGCTAATTCTTCTGCTTGCTTTAAAAGACGAGCTTCAAGATCAGCATTTACACTTAAACCAGGAGTTCCACTAGCTGCTTCTCGGCGTAGAGTTTCATTTGCTACGGTTAGTTGTATATTTTCTCCACGTAATGTGTTTGCACTTTCAAACAATCTGTTATCTATAAAATAAAGATAGTATTGCATATCTATTAATTCAAAGAATGATATATGTACATTTCAATGGATATTAAAAAGATTGTAGCGCATCAAGTCAAAATATAATAATAATAACAAGTTGATAATATATCACTTAAATTTTTGTAACTAACTATATTAAGAATTACATGAAAAGAAATCTTACGTAAACTAATAAGATCTAAGAAACAATATGTTTGTTTCTTGTTTCTTTCTTGTAATTGTAAAATTAGATCTTTCCTCCAATTACTATCTTCCCTAGAATGTGATGATGCACCTGATTCACTCGCGGCCATTTTCAGTGCATGAAATATCTCTTTACTATTGTTGTGATGTAAATTATTTGTCTTTTCTTATCAAAGTTGTATAAAAAACATTTGACAGCAGAACAGTTGGTAGATATTTTGGCAACCTCCGACATACACTGCTTTATCACAAAAAATTTATCTTAGACCAGTAATGTTTCATTTGAACATTAATCACCATTAACATCGAAAAACGTCTTACTAATCACATGACATTCAAATTTATCACGAATATTCTTAATTATGAAAATAGCTATTCTAACCTAAGTATACCAAACACTACACTGCTACCCTGAAATTGCCGGTTATTCGAAATATCGATATGGGTGCTCTGCGAGATTTCGATACTTCAGTATTTGAATTTCAAACACAATTTCACTGAAGTCGGTAACAAATGATAAAATATTTTGCTGCAACTTCTATTCAGTAATCAATTACATCATATATAAGTAGCATAGATAAATTAGAATAAACGCCTATTATTTATTCACAATTAAGATGGGATATATTTGAATATGAACAAAGTAAACTAATGTGCGGCAGATGATGAAGCAGTTCGCTGCATCGCGTTTTGTTCAGCTGATATCACATTCCATTTATCTAGGTTTGATATTTGTCTTCTTCAAAATATTTCTTAAAAACAAAATTCTTAAAAACAAATTGTTCAATATATTTTAAAATATAAAATATATTGAAAATATTCATAGAAAATATTCATTACTCTATGTTTAATTTGCATTTTGGATTCATCATTTTTAAACCAATATTTATATTATATTAATTACTATTGATTAGCATATTTTTTAGTAGAATAGCAATCAAAATTGAAATGTAGAAACAAATATTTTTTGGCTTGTCTTCCACGTTCGAAAAGTTTTGTTACTATGAAATACAGGAAAAGAAACGAACGGTGTCACGAAAAAAAATCAAATAAAGATACGGTTAATAAATTGGAATTAACTAACAGGTATAAATATTTCTTTAAATTATATGTAATTTTATATTAATTGATTGTTAAGCGCCAAGAATTTTTTAAAAATAAAAGAAAGTTTGGATAACTCAATCATAGAAATAGTAATCAAATAATTAGAAGGCGTCAAAAAAATCATGTCAATAATCGACGTCAACCTGGTCCAATGCAATATGTATTTTATGCCATACTTAATACCGATTTGCATATGAATCGAGGAACAGCAGCGGCAAATGTAAGCGTGATATAAATATAAATTATTTAATAATTGCCACAAAATAACTTTTTTAAAATATACATATTTAATTTAAATAATGTAAATTATACTAATTAATTTTAGATAGCAGTTGGTTTAATGCTCCTTTATAATATAATAGACACTGACCAGGTGAAATGTCAATATATTGATAGCTGGACAAAGAATGGGTATTATATGCTATACTAATTTTTCTATATTGATAATTGTCTGTAGCAATCTATGATATTGATTTTATATTTAACTTTTAACTTCTCTTGCAAATAAGAAGAAAGATAAACGTGATACATAATTCATCTAATCTATTATGTAAAAACAGACAAAGAATAGTAATCTTGAAGGGATATGACCACAGACATTTGAAATACCTCCAACAGGAAGTAAAATTTATAGCACTCGGAACGTACGCAGTTCGACAAAGGTGGGGACGGAATAAAGCAATCATGGTATTAACTGTTTTTGGACAAAAAGAAGATTTGGAAGATGTTTTCGAAGGATTAACATATGTACGATAGTAAAAGTTAATAAAAAATAAACCCATTTTTTGAATACCAATAAATAAAGTTCTTCCTTTAACTCGTCATATGTATAAATGCATGATATTCTACTTTTATCACTGGCAAAGTGGTATGTAATATCAGTTAAACAAAACGTACTTGCACCTCTATAATCTATATTAATTTATAATCGACAATCTATAATCACATACAAGGTACAGATTCCATGTATAATAGCGATTTAAAATAAAACTAAAGTCTTGTATGAAATTACAAATAAAGTGTATGGCAGAATGTCCTATGATCAGAAATGAACTATGGAATTTTATACTACTACAATATCTCATAAAGCATTACTTCATTACGCAATAGTGCAATTAGTATTTTAATTACTTATATTGCTTTATTTAGCGACGCGTTACATCTGCTATACAGATATATGTACGTATATGCATATGTACATATACGTATATTGTTACGACCGTTCGCGGAGAGACGCGGTCGCGAGGAAAACGCGTCAGCGAGAGGCGTAAATTCTCGCTACGATTCGGTGAATCGACGCCGCGAAGTAGTCGTTCCCCTGTTTCGGTTAAGATAACAGAGGTGGTTGAATGAATATGACACAGTAGTAAGTTATATTTCACCGTTTATTCCACTAACTTATAACGTAGGTAGTTACACTGGTGCGTATGTACGAGATGAGTGAATGACTGATCTACGGATGTGTATACCCGGTGGAAGGATGTTGACCGTTCGAAGGATGTAAAATCAGTACTGTCTTGGGAGACGATGCTGTTTCGGAGGAAAGCTAAGGATGGGTGTGTCTAGCGCACGGGACCATCGGATTTGTTGGTGACGATTTTAGTTAGGAGAGTGAGGGAATAGACTTCGTTGTTAATTGGTTAAACGAAGGGTCTTAACCGCCCTCGAGAGAAAATGGTTAGTGGGAGGAAAGTTGCATCATACGTGAGAAAAACTAACTTTCCCTTGTCAAGCCGTGGTAGACAATAGTCTTTAGAAATTCTTCGGAAACAGACGTTTGTTTGGTTTGAAGGACCTCTACTAGGAAATCTATGAGATTTATGGAAGGTACTTGAGGGTACATAGTGAGTATCCGAAGACATCTGGTTGCCATCTTGCCCGCGGTGTGTGGCCTAGGCTAGGTAGAGCGTTACGCGACGTAACATATATATATAACCTTAACTGTAGTGATGTAGTGTGGAAGAAAAAGAATGATTAAGTGAATTCGATTATCATTCCTACTAATTGGAATAAAAATATAAAAATAATATAATGTTCATGCCATTGATAATTTCGAAAATGAAATTATTTATGTGGTTAGAGCGTTAAAAAGTTAACAGCACATTAGGTTATCTTGAAAATCACTGTTTCAACCGACGTTTATATAGATTATGCATAGACGCGTACTATAGATGCATGGAATTTTTTATTTTCTCTACAATAATAATGTGCAATTTTATAGTTCTACACAAATCTTTATAAATCGTGGAACACGAAAAATTATTTCATGTTACATCTAAAATGAGTTATTATTCGTGCTATCTCTTTACAAATTATATGCTCCTAATACGAAATCGCAAAATTGTCTGAAAATTCTATCAATATCTAAGAATTTGTAGTAATATCAATGATTTTTTACCAGGAGAATATAATTCATAAAGAAGTGGCAGGATGAAATACCAACTTAAGTTACGTTCCTTATCCTACTAATCTGTTTTACCGATTTCTAGGTTTGCAGAAATTTTGTACTAATATTTTAAAGCTTTACACTTACTTATGCATACTTACCTCAGAGAATAGGGTGTGGGTATTGGATACAGATTGGGTATCGATTAGGCACGGATTGGACACGGATTGGACACGGACTGAACACGAATTAGGCACGAATTAGACATGAATTAGGCACAAATTAGGCGCGATTTGGGCACGGATTGAGCACCGGATCTTAAGAAGATTCTGTGAAAAGTATAAAAATTATATTTCAAAATTTGATTGTGAATAATTAATTATATTGTGAATCACTAATAGTTTCTTTGATCTTTCACTGACAGGACACAAATGGATCCTGGCAGACTCGAACGCCACTTATTTATATTAAAACAAGTGCCTGTTTAAAAAATACATTGTCTACATATGCATGTAACAAGCACATATTTTAACAAGCATATATTATTTAAAAAAAAAAAGAAAAGAACGAGTCACAGTTCATTTACTTAGCTATTTAATGTAGCGAAGGCAACTGAAGCTTTGGATCTTGTCCTTTCGACATTTGCTCGGAGACTGGCTGAAACCGATCAACGGTTCAATGTCGGGGAATGTTTAGATTATCGGCACATGGTCCGTCGCGTTTATTGACAACTGACACGGGTCCTCGAGAAAGGTTTCCACGTTTATCGCGTACAATATAAATAAAATGTGTAATATCTAACTAAAATGTCTTTAGAGATCTAAAAGAACATACCATTCTATTCTTGGAGATTTAATTGCGGATATGTAATATTTTTACATACAATTCACTTGCCAATTAACGTCAAATTGAAAATCACTGTAAGAAACAATTCAGACAAGTGTCAGTCTTCCTCTATCACACCCGCTTTATACCAGCATTAGCTCCGCCCTCAAACGCCCGGTTATTTTAAAAATTGCTTCGCAATAATTCAGGTACGTGAACTAGATTTAATTCGAACATTTTCGTGAACTTCGATACTTTATATTTTGAGTGAACTGAGATGCCAGACATTCAAATGAAGTTTAAGTCTATCGAAGCCAGCCGATATTCTTTATTCTTTATTGAATTGCGAGTAATTGACGCGTACCTCATGATAATTGAATTGAATATTATTTCTCTATTCGCCATATCAAATCCCAAAGAGCATAAGAAACACTCTGATTTTGTTCTAGTCGGTATTTCAGAATCCGAGAAACAAAGTTCCAATTTGATATCACGTCGAACGTCTGTCCTTAGTCAATGATATAACTGAAGTTCATATAATAACAGCTTAATGATTTTGTTTATTATATACGTTTTCTCGTTCATATAATAATAATTTACATTCAAATAAATTAATTTTGTTCAAATAAACGGAACACATTCAAACGAACTAATCGTACTCGACATAATATTATAAATTGTAGAGGGTGTAATAAAACCTTCAAATGGTCGGTATTACAGAATGTGTGGCGTGGTCACAGATGAGACGTATGTACCGTAGATATGACGCAAAGTGCATCTTTATCGCTTTCTACAATTGAGTTATATTATAGACGTATAGTTGAACTTTAACCAATTCCCATATAATATCAGCACAGATGTGTATTTAGGCGATGATCCTATATTTTCAAAATTGAATTCCTTCGATGGATTGCAGGATTTATCATTGGAGTAATTTTGGATGTCGGTATTTCATGTGCCTGGTTGAACATCAACGAATATTGCAGATATGCTCGATTGTAGCGTTGCATACGATTGGCGAATATTGCAGTCGAGGGGGAAGAAACAAAAAACAGAACTGTTAAAGCGCCAAAGGTTGCACGCGAAGCGGCGCCACGCCCGCCCCACCATATGGGACTTTTATTCAGAGGGGCCAGAGGGGAGGCAGTTGGTCGGCGCAGTCGCTCGCCGCGTTTTATGCAACCAGTCTTGCTTCGGAGCGAGTGAGTCTACTCCAGCCTTTGACAGACGAGGAAAGTGTGTGTAGTGACATCGGTGTCTGTCTGGTCGCTTCTCGCTGATCGCTCTTGTTAATTGCACGACCGACTGTTCCGTCGAGACAACCGATTCGGCTAGATCCGGTTTTCTTCGTAGTTGAGTCAGGACACGATCGTGTAAACGTCCGTATTACGTATATTTTCGTCAGTTGTGTATACTGTCTTTGCCGGCAACAGCAAGGCAAGGTTTAAAGGCGGTGTCGGTTGTGTATTCGGCACCCTTGGCCATCGTGCAAAATTTCACCTACTGTCTACTAATATAGCTGAGAGGTATACGGGTTGCGGACTCGCGTGTACCGATCGGAGTGCCAGTGCGACGACAATCGGGCGTGCTAACACGGGTGTATTATCCACAGCTGTGTACATATATTATATGTGTGTATGTGCGTAACGTGCGCGTAGAGGAAAACGAATTGGCCGCTATCGGTGGAAAGAAAGGGATAGAACGCGAGAAGAGGGTGGGAGAACGAAGGCGGCCGTGAATCCACTATACGCGGCTACGTTCACGCCGCCGCGTATTTCACACGGCACGACACGAAACAACAGCACACCGTCGGCCCAGGCCTACTGAGGAGAGAGACGAAGCGTATCTGAATACCGAACGAATTATTACGAATTCGTATAGCATTGACGCGCCTTTT